AGGATGAAATGAAGAAGTGCTGTTGAAGCCCCATTTTCCACCCGGAACCTAGGGAAATAATATAATTTACATCAAAAAATAATGAAAAGTGGTTCTCAAATGGTTGCGTTATGAGCTCAACTTAAAACTGTACTGAATTTCTATGCAACTTGTAGTCACTAACTCAGATGTTGGTAACTGAAATGATGATAGAATCTTTAAGTTTAATGAATTATAAATGTCATGGTTGTCGACCGTCATCAAATAAGGAATTTAAGAGAGACTGCCGTGTCTCAAGTGCATCAGTAGTTCACCTGTGAAATGCGCACTAACCACGCATCTGCTGCGTGAATCGATTCCCGTCCGACACACTCCTAAACCTCACCTAACCGGTGAGAAACCCGGAAAAGAGGGAAAGTTAGGCGTTATACTAGCAGCCACACTCCGTGAAAAAAATAACGCTACCACTGAAGCCTTAAGGTGTGAATCCCTATTATCCATCAAAATGCAAGCGAGGAAACAAAACTCTAACATACTTAGATTTTTACGCCATTCTAACTATATATATATATATATATATATATAGTATGATTGATGGCACAGTCAGTAGGCATTTGTACAACTGCTATTACTTAAGCCGTCATCAGCTTTAGTATCTTTCCTTCACACCTATGACAATAAACTTTCGCAGCTTGCTTCGTTTCTACACACACAGTCTCTCACAAACGCACGTAAATACGGATCAATAAATAAGCTTTACCTGGGTATGTATATACTAGTTTAAATGATATCTCCAGCTAATCTGCTTACTATCTGACCGTTTAAAAGAAGTAACAGTTGTTATCACTTTCAGTGTTTTTTCACAACAATAATTAGAATAATAACTTTATTTTTTATGTTTTTATGTTCAAAACTCTTTTCTTTTTGTTCTTGTAAAAAATAAGAAGTTTAAAGTATAAGTGTCTATCATCATGTTTATTTCCCCTTACATCGATTCTTATTTCACATCTGTTTCTGCTAAGCTTTATACTCTAGTTTGTTAGAAATTTAACAGTGGAACGCAGGTTACATGTTTTATTCCATTGAGAAGTTTCCAGTCTGATACATCTGAATGAGAGGAGTGTTTCTTCCATTGATAGTCTATCTGTCTGTCTGTATTCGACATAGAACTTTGCACCGATGTGCAGCAGTTCAAGTCGCCACACTCCATGTAGCACACAGAGCAAGAGAAGAAAGTAGAAGAAATGCATAATATAGACAGTGAACAGAGATGAGAGACAAAGGAATAGTAATAACGAAGATCAATATAGTTTCAATGGAAATCATAAGTCACAAGGAGTGGATGCATCTGCGCCATTGAGAACGATTTTGAGCCATATCACCAACTGTTTCCAACCATTGGTTTTTACCATCCTGAAGACGCCAACCAGGAAGTCTACACCTTCCTACGTGGCTTAGACTAACTGTTGTAGATTTCGTTGACTGGTGCCATGTTTTCGTTTGACCGCCGCTAGCTCTTTTCCAGCCTGGCCCTATATCAGCTAACATTGCCCGTCGAGGAAGGCGATGACTAGGCATACGCTAGGACATGTGTTACGTATGCCTAGTCATCGCCTTCCTCGACGGGCAATGTTAGCTGATATAGGGCCAGGCTGGAAAAGAGCTAGCGGTGGTCAAACGAAAACATGGCACCAGTCAATGAAATCTACAACAGTTAGTTTAAGCCACGTAGGAAGGTGTTGATAGTTAATTTCAACAGTGGTATCTTGGATCACTAGTAGTCAATAGAGTTATTAACCTCCGTCCACATGGTTACTTTGTCTGTTGTGTAATACCGGTAACTGATTTCTTGACCCTCTTGAACTAGTATGCGTTAATTGATCTACAGAGTAAATTATCCTATTCTATTGGTGACTGAAATTCTCATGTAATGTAGTAATAAGTATCATTGATAAAAGAATAGAACTTGGCCACTGTGGTGGAGTTTAATTCCATTATACAGAAAATTTATTTTGCTAAACTGTCACAATGTGTTATACAGTCATATTTACTGATGACGTTTCAAGCACAATTTATTGCCGCTCATAATCATAGCAAGTTATTGCGAATTCTCTTATATAATTTGATTACTTCTCACCTCTCGATCTGATTGGTGGTAATTTTCTCCAAATCTCTGGTATTGGTGATGAGTCATTCCTGTTGTATGCACTGGATGTAGATTCAATGAACAAGGGTTCAGTAATCAACCTCTCTGTCCGTCTGTCTATATTATTTTTTAGAATTGTCACTCTCTCCCACCCTATTGTTTGGTTGTGTATTAATGCATGCAGTGCAGTTACTGAGGTTTTTTTTAATTTACTTATCTTCACGGCATCAATCATTCTGTACTTAGCTAAATTCTTATGCTCTAATAATCTGGCTACTCCCGATCTACTTACTGGTTTGGCCTATGTAGTTGAACTCAGAGTCCTTGCAAGGTATTTCGTAAGCTATAATGTTTATTCTAAGTAGTGGTCTTGGGATGCTAGGAACCAATGGGAGGAGATTGTTCACGATATGACTGAAAATCGTTCTCAATAGCATAGATGCATTCACTCTTGCTTATCTCAAATATCCCTTCAACTATCATGTTTTTCCAAGTTACTATTCTTTTTTCCTAGCCTTTCTGCTCATTATAGTCATTTTGAATCTCTTTTCTCTACCTATGTGTACCACATACAGTACGACAACTTGAACTGGTACACTTCTGTGCAAAGTTGTGCGTTGAAATTCTATCAGTCATTCAATTGCTTTTAATATAATGAGGTTAATAATGTTTTTAATTATACTGTCTATCAGAAAAGTGTTTCGAGTTATAGATGTTTCATTATTTCTCTCAAGTTTACTTACATTGAGGATTCTCTAATTGTTGACTTTAATAAAGTGTACAGAATTTATTGACTTGTTCGATGTTTACAAGGGGACAGAAAATGCTGCTGTTTAGAGCATGAATGAATGCATTTCTTTTGCCATAATCTGTGATTGGATATTTCACTTTAATACTTTCTTCACAATTACAATTATATAAAACATGGTTCAGTCTTTCATAAATACAATTTTCGTTTTCACTAACCTTAAAAAATGCACTGACACTGACTGTATGACTGACTAAGTTTCAACAGAGAACGTTGCACAAGAAGTGCAGCCGTTCAATTTTCTGCACTTGATGTGGCACAAAAAGGTAGAGAAAAGAGTAAAAAGAAATTCAAAATAAACAATAATGAGCAGAAATGTGCTGGAGAAAGAAGAATAACATGAAAACCGTGAAGGTTTAATGAGTGTATGGAAGGTAACAAAGAGTAATGTTCAAGTGTTGGTTTGTAGGGATTTGATTGGTCACAGGATTTTCATCATGAGCTGACATTAGTTAGAGAACCATTGGAAAACCTGAGAGTACTGGACAGCCGACCGTATCGTCCTAGCTTGGGACTCTTCAGAAGTACGCACTCACCCTGCAGGGTTTGAACCTAGGATCTTCTGGTTACAAGGCGAGCGAGCTCGTAGACCATTAAGTCACTGGGACCCGATCCAGTGGCCTATGAATTCTAACTTCTGCCAATTCACGACATAGCGCGACCCCTAGCCAATGTCTTCGGCGAGTATTTGTCCTCACACCTGACCTGCTGCACCCTACTGGTCACGACTTCTGTGCAATTGCAGACGATTTTAAGTCATTATTCTCCAGGTACTGGTTCTTAGCATCTCGAGTTGCCTAACCAGGCAGTCTACACCTCCCTGTGTAGCTCACACGAAACTGTTGAAGACTTTATGAATTGATGCCAGGTTTTGATTTGATCATCCTTAACGTTTTTCCGACCTAATCCTTCATAGTCTAACAAGTTTATTTTGAATTCATGCGCTTTGTACATATTTTTTTTAATGATCACTGGAACAGTTGATATGAATTTAAGTGAATACGACATGACAGGAAATATATACCTTGACGCGCTTTTCAAGAAGCATCAAAGGTAGGCCTTCAGGTCAACATAGAGAAAACAGAGGTGATGAAGATTCCTGGCCAACATTACTAACAGCAACAACAACAGACAACAATCAGCATAAATGGAAGGAGCCTGAAAGAAACAACCTCCTTTACCTACCTGGGAGGCATCGTTTCAACTACAGGTGGACGGAACTGACGAGGATATCAGAGCAAGAATCGGAAAAGCAAGATAAGCTTTCACTACTCTCAAGTCTGTGTGGAGGTCAACAGCACTCAGAATCAAAAATAAGATCCGGATTTTCAATTACAATGTGAAGTCAGTGGCGCGTCATAAAGAGCACCTCAAACAAACTACAGACCTTCATTAACAGTTGTCTTCGCTCGATACTCAAGATCAGATGGCCGGCCAGAAAAGATCAGCAACAGTCATCTTTGGGAGTGAACCAACACAGCAGGAACCGATTGTGAAACAAATAGGCAGGAAGAAATGGAGACGGATTGGCCATACTCTGAGGAAACCATCAAGTGACATCACTAGACAAGCCATCACTCGAGTGGAACCCGGAAGGGAAGCGGCGAGTTGGTCGTCAGTGCAAGGGTGGGGTGACTTGGAGGAGGTCATGTGAAGAGGAGATTAAAACGTGTGGGCAGACTTGGAGTCAGGTGAAAACTCTAGCAGAGAACCGAACGCAATGGACACGTTTGGCTGAAGCCCTATGTTCCTCTAAGAATTAAAGGAAGTAATAATAATATAATGACATGACAGGTCGGCTTCGATCATGATGTTATCCAAAGAACTGTAGATTTCAATCCTTTTTGACTGACCATCCCCATGGCTTTCTGATTTATCATATTCCACTTTACCAAGTGTTGTACACTTAACCGATTTAGTAATTTATTAGATTAGGCTATGGTTTATTCAAAGGTCCATTTATGGCATCTTTTTCATATCGCTTATATTCACCAACAAGATATCCATAACTATGTTTGTTTTTACTCATATCCGCATGTTTCTATTGTTTTTACTTATTCCATCTAGTGTAATGCGTCGTGCTGTTGCTGTCAAAGAGATACGAATTAATCCAGAAGAAGGATTACCGTTCACAGCGATTCGTGAAGGTAAGTAAGTAATAGAGCACTGACAGCATCAGTAACAGTGAAATCAATACTCTTGTCATTATTCATTTTTTTTCATCATTTTGTTATCTGTCATTTTTCTCCTTCCTTGTGATACAATCGTGTGTATAAATGTGTTGTCTAATACATAAATATAATTTGTTACATGAAAAAAGTTTATGGACTGTCAGTTTCAATTATATAAAAAAACATTCAATACAACTCTTTTGTGTGTGTGTGTGTGAAATGACAACTATTCCGTTGTGTAATGAAGATTGTGAATAAGTGATACGTTAAAATACATCAGTTTGTACATTACATTGGACATATATATATATATATACGTCACTTTCGACAAGTAATTCTGGATCTTGCCTTGTTGATTGATGATTGTTTAGAGCTGTAGACAGAAATACTTGGGATACTTTATCAACTGTGGTATAAATCACTCGTCTAATGTGAATACTTTTTAAGGTTTTCTTCAAAGGTAGTATTGTTATCTTAACTGGGTAGATAATGTAGTATTAATTAATATTCAGTAGTCTCCTGTGTGTTGTATTGGTTAGTTTATCATGCAAAAATGCATATGGAGTTGTTTATTCCTGGATATCATTAGGCTTGTTTTGTTTTGTTTTGTTGTATTTTGCAGGAGAACTGTCTATTCTTACTTGTATTAACAGATACTATTTTTTGTGATTAGTTAATTCTCTGACAGTATATCACATGGAACTAATGTTTAAATCTAAATCTAAAGCAAGTAAATATGTATATATATTTAGATTCAATACGATAAAGTGAAACAGCAGGAAACTAAATGAAACAAGGCATTAATAACAAACTAATGTATACATGCCCGCATACATACGTACATGCCTATTATACAAAACAACTGTTTTGACTACGGGATAATGTTGAGAGATTTCAGTCAGATGATTGGTTGGCACCTGTCTTAACTTGAAAACTATTATTTTCAACTATTCAACTTGAGACAGCATATGATACTCGTCATCGGTTCTTCTACTTATTTATTTATTTATTATTCCCTTAGATTCTGAGTGGTACATAGGGCTTCAACTAAACATCTCCATTTTGTTCCTTTTTTCCACTATCCTCTTCAGCTGGGTCCAAAACTGGCCATAATCTCTCATCCCCTCCTCACCTCACGATCTCCTCCACGTCACCCTTGCACCGCTTCCTATTGGGATTCCACTCGAGGGCCTGGCACACGATGTCATTCGAAGGTCTCCTAAGCGTATACCCGATCCATTTCCACTTCCTCCTACATATTTATTGAGCAGTCGGCTCTTGCTTGGTTTGTTGCTAATTCTTTCTGGCCGCCTGACCATCTGATCGTGAGTATGGAGCTGTTGATAAAAGTCCGTAACTTGTTGGAAATGTTTTTCTTGACATGCTGGACAAGTTTCCGACCCGTACAGAAGAAGTGACGGACTTCACACTTATGCTGAACAGAATCTGAATCTTGTTGTTTATGCTGAGGCGGAGCGCATTACAGAATATTTCGAAACTGGTTTCAGGTTGATGAAGGAGTATCTTCCCTTTCTGATTCTGGCTGGCTGGCTGGCTGTCTTTGACATCTTTGACATCTGTTAAATCTCTCCCGTTGATGTTGATTGGTGATGTTTGTTGATTATTTTCATCACTTCCGTCTTCTCTATATTCTCTCTGTTTTTTTACTAACCACCTGTAAACAGATAACATCTAAATAAACCTTAGTCTTTGTCGAATTACCTTTATAACCCACCCTTAAGTTAATGCACTCCTGTATCTACTATTATTGTTATTCCCTTGGGTTCTGAGTGGAACATACGACTTTGACGGTACATCTCCATTCATCCTGCTTTCTGTAGCCCTTTTCTGACTACCTACACGATTATCCATCTTCCTCACACTCTCTTCTCCATGTCACTCACGGGCGGGTGCCTAACTCATCGCTTCCACTCGAGGGCATGGCTCGTGTGTTAAATCCATCTTCTTTTTCCTTCGGTGTATTTCTTCTGCGATAGGTTGTTAATCAGATCTTTCCCAGAGTTCCTTGTTGCTTTTTATTTCCAGCCAACTAGTCTTCAGTATGGAGCCAGCGAAGACAGGTGTTGATTAAAGTCTGCGGCAGCCTGTCAGGAATGTTTTCGATGACGTGCACTCCAAATATATGAACTACATAGAAGAACTGATCTAAATTTAGTGTTGAATGCTCGGATCTTGTTCCTTGTGCTGAGTGAAGTAGGCCCCATGCTAAACTTATAGTGATGAAGAACTGTCGGTCTTGCCTTTCTGACCTTGACTGGTTTTACATCCCCATTTATGCCGCCAGTAGTTGAATCGGTGCTGCTTAGATAAGGGAAAGAGGTCACCTCTTTTAGATTGCTTCCAGTGTGAGAACATTCCGTGTCTTTTCACTTATTTTTTGCTTTCATCAAAAGTAGATGCATTAGATGACTGGATATCAGAAGGCTCTCAGCATGTCGCATCATTTTGTCTGCCTGATTCTAACGAAGAATGGGTTTATTTTTCATATATTTTTCTCTATACTTAGAAATTTCTTTAGCGATTTGATTGATTTTCTGACTCTCTGAACTAAGATCATGTATCATACATTTCTCTGCAAAATACTAATTCGTTTTATCTACCGGCCAGTTAGCTTTTTATTCGTGTTCTTCGTAAACACTTTCTCAATAGGAATTAGATAGATGTTTTAAGTTTATGAGACGTCAGACAGCCAGACTCACGGATTCATACAGATTCTGCTTTCAACAACCATATCCTGTTCTCGTCAGACTCAGCACTATGCCATTTCAGTTTAATAAAACCGTTATTCTTATTATCAAGCAGTACTTTCATCGCTAATTCATTGATCGACAATTTGACAAGATTTCAACTAACTAATCTATCTTAATAATTCCCTTTGGAAATGACCTACATTTAAGGTCAAAAGAAAGCGCGCATAATTACATTTTTTTTGCTGATTCTTTTAGTGTTTTTTTAAGTACTCATTTATGGTGCATACATTGTTTGAAATTTGTTAAAATTAACATAATTCCTATCAAACTAAATTGCATCGGTGGCACAGCGGTAGAATGCTCACCAACCACGCAGGGACCGGGATTCGACCCCCAGCCGAGGCACTTGTTTACCTCACTAAGCCAGTAATAAGACTAGTAAAAAGGGAAGATTAGGAATGAGGCTAGCGACCTCATCCCGTAAAAATAAACACCACTGCTACCGAAACTTCAAAACTCTAGCTTGAAGCCCTATGTTCCACTGGGAAGCTAAAGGAATAAAAAACAACAGAACCATTGATAGCCTTTTTGTCCTTGTCTAGGACTCTTCATCAGTACTCACCTATGACCCCACCTGAAGTCGAACCTAAAACCTTTAGGTTACAAAGTGAACTTGTAAACCATTTTAGCCAATGGGATGGAGTCCAACAGCTCATGAATTCCATATTTTTCTAGCAGTTGATATAGATAGGTATATTTGTTTTCCATCTACATTACCATTTCTGCGATATGAATACTTTCCTGTTTTTGTATATTTTACATTTTTATGACTGTAGGCAGATGCATTTTGTGCAACAGATAGGAAGGAATTTATTTATTGCGTCAGATGTGTTTGAATTGTTGAATAGATAGATAAACATTCAAATTTATTTTTTTTACCATTACTCCCATTTTGCTAAGAGGTTTAAAAAAATGCTTACCAGACTGAACATATGTAAAAAAATTAATATAGCCTAATTGCTTGGAAAAGCATTTGTTAACTAATGTGTAGTAATTCACACGTGCCTATTACACATTACTTTGAGTATAGTTCATAGGAAGGTAACAGTAGAAGTTATTAACAATTGAGGCCATTTTTTCATCTTATTTGAGAGTAATCACTTTAATGTGTCAGCATCACAGCAAGTGATTGTATTCCCCAGTGAGTCTCGAAAGTAACATCTTTGGTTTCAAAAGCAAAAGCGAGAGCCACATCTTGTTCAGCTATTCTCTAACTGATTTCAGCTCGTAATCAAACTTATAGCTAATCACATCCTTGCAAACTAACAATTGATAATAATTATCAATTAAACGTTTAGAATTTGTTATTGTTTATTTTAACTCAATGGAAATGGTTGGTCTGTGTTGAATAAATTAGTTCATTCGATTCGCAGTGGGAAAACAACCATCGATCGGGATGATGGTATGTCCGGCGAACAAGTCGGTAGTAAAAAGTAGTTACTACTGTTATTTTTCTCTTGGGTCCCGAGTGGAAAATACGGCTCTAGCAGCATACCTTCGTTTCATCTTATCCTTAGTGGTGTCACTTAGCTGGATATAGTATTGCTCGTACACTTTCATCTCACACGACTGTCCCATGTCACGGTCGGTCCTCCACCCAGCTCGTTTTTTCCCATTCAGGCTCAACTCGAGGGCCCAATTGAAGTGTGATGTCACTCAGTGGTCTCCTCAGCGTACATCAAATCCACCTCCATTTCCTTCTGCATATTTATTGAGCAGTAGGTTCTTGGTTGGTTCACTGCTCATCAAAGTTTGCAGTAGTATGTTCGAATTGCTTTTGATGACAGGCCAAGCCTCTGAATCATATAGAAGTATTGAATTGACATAAGTGTTGAAGATCTTGATCTTGTCATTTATGCTGAGTGCAGCGGGTTTCTATACTGATTTCAGGATAATGAATGCCTTCCAGATCCTGGTTGACTTTGACTTCTTCATCCATGTCGCATGTGGTTGAAACAAAAGTGTCCAGATAAACGAAAGAGATGGCTTTATTCAAATTTGTCCCATTGTTAGTGACTAGTACTTGTTTTTATTGGTCGCTGCGTATTTTCATCACCTCCATCTTGTCTCTACTTCTTCTTCTATCAACGTATTGGTTTCCTCCTGTAGATCTTCGAGATTGTGTTTGACATAAATCGTCTTTGAAGTCTAGATTTTCTTAAATAAACACTTCTGCTGATTGTGAATCACCGAAATATATCAAGCTGAAATCATTGACATTTCCGAAACATCTGTTATGAAAGCCGATATGACAGTAGACATTGATCATTTCGGTCGAGTAAACACTAGAAACCGGAAATGCTGAAATTTAAACAAAGAATAATTATAGTCTCTAACTACCAAAATTTATTCAGAATGCATCCATCCATTTAACTGAAAAAGTAGTCCATAATTTTGTGAATTATCAAAAACATACTCACAAGGAATAGTCATTAACTTTCATTAACTAGTTAGTAACTAGTGTGATGTATCTAGTCGTCTGTCTGATACAGACTGAATTCTATCAGTCACGTATGCAATGTGGCCACTATGCCACTAGGTGGCTCGCCGTCACGGTGCACTTTGAATTGTTGGTATTAGATGGTTGGAGGCAATCTACAAGAAGGCTTGCTTGACCTAGGTTTCATGCTAGTGTAAGTGTTAGTAAGGTGTATCTGCATCCTTGAAAGGATCAGTGTGCCTTCTGAGATTCGAACCCGCGTCACCCAATGGCCACATTGCAAACGTGACTGATAGAATTCGGTCTGCACCAAACAGAGGACTAGACATATTACATTGATTACTAACTAGTGTCCAATCAAAATTATCTAGTAGAGTCCTACAGGAGGTCAATCGTTGGCCCGAATATCTAAGTGGTAACATCTCTGACTACAGCATTGGGTGACACCGGTCCGAATCCCAGAAGGCACATGAGTTCCTTCAATGTGGTTGCAGATACGCCTTGCACACTGGTGAGTCCCAACTAGGATGAAACCTAGTTCAAGCAAAGCTTCCTGCCAATTGCCTCCAACCACCTATTGTAACTGATTTGTTAGTAATAATAATAGTAAATAGCTGACAGAATTTTCATTAATAAAATATCCTACATTTTTCTATATTTTAATCTTTCTTTTCTCCAGCCTCCCTACTGAAAGCCTTACGTCATGCTAACATTGTTATTTTACACGATATTGTGCATACAAAGAACACGTTAAACTTCATTTTCGAATTTGTGGTAAGTTAGTTATGCTATGTAGATATTGTTATTTAAACTTTGAATTCGAATTATTACTTTATAGATGATATGCATTGTTTGAAGCGTTCATGCATCTTTTCACTTTGTTTTTGCGTTCTTAATAGAAAATTAAAGTTTCAAGTTTGAGCTTTCACCTTTTAGTAGCAGTGGTGTTAATTTTACAAGTGTATGGGTGGGGGGTGGGTGCTAGCCTCACTCACAGCCTTCCCCTTTTATCGAGGTTTATTACAGGCTAAGGGAGGTTTAAGAGTGCGTCGGCCGGTGGTTGAACCCGTTCCATACGCGAGGTTGGCGAGCAGTCTATCACTGATCTGCCGAGTCACTGTTGATCACTATATTTGCTTAAGACATTAAAAATTTTTTTTTATTTACATCTAAAAGACGTGTCTGACGTTAAATAAATTGCTGTCTAATGAGTGTATTTTTCAGCAGCACCGTTGTAAGAATGAAAATATGAATGGCTTCAGCTGTTCAAGCGGTGCAGTTGTTTTCGCTTTGCTTGTTGTTTGTGGTGTAATCACCACCATGTAGACAGTTTGAAAATGTGTCGCGAAGATTGGGGTAAGATACTTATTTCAGTCGACGAATAACCGCTGTCAGAAGTAGCCAGGCACCCCGTTCAGTCAGGAGTTCTAAACAGAGAAAATTTAAATTTTACTGGTCTAGCCCAAAGGAAAAGTAAATTTTGAATAAACTTCTTTTTGGATAAATAGCTTAGGTTAACTGAATTCCTACTTTGTAGCTACCAAGACCGGCTCGTTATAGTTTGAACGCAAGATACCGATCTCTGCGTTCAACTGTATGGTTAGTTGGCAAACTTCCTTGAGACACACACAGTCACAAAACGCTCCAAAGACTTGAAAAAGACGATTATTCTGGAATAGTCTTGCGGTTGTACAATAGCATCAAAATCACCCAAACAGTGCAGCTAGGCAGCTATGCGGTTCAGTCTAAGTACAAAACGGGCACGTAGCATCAAGTAAAATATTCTCACAAAGGTGTGGCTGAAAATTCTGTCGACAAGAATCACACACCAACGCTTTCCGCATACAGTCCAAGTTTAAAATGGCCTTGATTCACTCAAACAAAATCATCTTGTAAAACGACAACCACAAAGAGCAGCATTAAAATTAGAGATTAAATAGGGACAAAGACAATTACTGCGGATCGAATCAACGTGTGATATGCAAATGTCAAAATAATAATTATATACAGCCTAGGAGAAAAACGTATAATAATTGCAGAGTTGAAACATCTAAATAAGTACAAATATTGTCAATAAATCGTCCAAGAGGGATTTCATAAATAAGTTTTCCGTCACATATGTTACCCCTTCGACAGTATAGTAAATTCAATGATGGACGCTGTGCATTAGGGTTTTTACTATTTAATTGTTAATTATGAAATCTGTGCGTCGGTGGTTCAGTGGTAGAAGGCTAGCCAACCACCCATATGATCCGGGTTCGATTCTTGGCTGACGCACAGCTAAACATCGTCAAGTTTCCTAACCTTGAAAGAAGGGAGGATTGGGTGTAAGGCTAGTAACCCTACGCTGTAATAACAAGGTCACCGTTACTGAAACCTGATAACCTTTCAGCCTTATATTCCCCTCAGAATACAACAAATTTGAAATAAAGAAAGATGTGTTAGTTTCCTTAATGTACTTTGGCTAAGTGATACTTTTGTACCTGAAAGTAGGAATAATAGTCTGAAGGAGTGTGTGCTCTTTGTGTTATCAAAGTTGGTTGACAACACAGAAACAGATGAAATCGAATAAGAACTTTGACTTCTGCGATCACACACAAATACTACTGGTCTGCATCAAAGTTTGATTTCTTACTATTTTCCAAGTCTACTAGACTTGATTTTTAATCCTAACTGCAATCCAACTATTATATAATTAAAATTTCATTGAATAATTATGGTTGCCTGGCTTTATATATTTGCTGTCTGAAGATTTTCTGCCTATACTTCGACTATTACTTCACTCTATAACACTGTTATCTACTCAGAATAGCGAAATATGCATATATTTTAATTCTAATCGTTATGACATCCTGTACATGTGTACATGTGTTTTCAGTGAAAGCCATTTCCATGTCTCTTTTATATTTCAGTCCTACCTTTTTATTTTGTCTCAAAATTAGTTTATGAGACTTATTCACACTTAATTTTTAAGTGTCTTTTTACGATCAGCTGATTCTCTCTGTGTGTGTGATGGCATTAGTTTCCTGTTTCTTCTTTTTCAAAATATTTCCCCCCTCACCCTTTTTTATTCTCGACAGATCGATTCTTTCTTTATTGCTCTTCTTCTTCTTTTTTTGTATCACCTATTTTTACCATTGATGAAATGATTATTTTTAAATGTGATACTGCGTACATTATTCAGGTAGGGTTAAGGGATATATTATATACCTGAGGTTTATTTCACTTATTGATTTGTCAAGGTTTTATTCTTTAGAATAAGTCATCTTCCTTTTGTATGTCTCTGCATGACTATGTATGTAATTTGTGTTTGTGTGCGTGTGCATGTATGCGTCTTCGTGCGCGTACATATGCGTGCGTGCGTGCGGATGCTCGCATCTTTAAAATATATTTTTTATGCACCACATATGTATGGTACGAGATAAAGAAGTAGGTAGTATTAGCAAGAGGAACACGTTTATCCGGCATTTCTATCGATTCCATCCCCATCCTTCAATGTCAAAAAAAACAGTAGAATCAATTTATTCATTTTTTTTCTTTCTTTTAGTCTGAAACCTTTCTTGTTTTTTTTCTCTTGAATAATTTCCTTTCTGCCTTTTTTTTCTTCGTTTTTTCCCAATTTCTTATGGGTAGTATTGAGTGTTTGTGTGTGTGTATGTATGGGGGATTTAACGATATGGTACAATAGTGCACATATATTGTTTATCCAGTCCTTTAATTATAATGCGTGATATTATTATTATTATTATTATATTGTTCAGTTAATATTGGAATTCTGTCTGTCTGTTTAGTTTTTAATGTTTTCTGTTGTTGCTATTATTGTCGTCGGGGAAGGGGGAGGGGTGATAGTCGTGAGGATGTTGGTGTTGCTAGTAGTGTTAGTGATAGTTTCATCAATGTCTTAAAACTTGTTGGTTTTGTATTCTGTGTTCAATAGACATATAATCTTTATTTTTTGAGGTAAATCGTTGATGAATATGTAGACAGACATGAAGAACAAGAGGAAGAATACCTGCGTATAAAATTGGAAATTAAAGAAAGAAATATTAGGCAATATATTTGATAAGCGTCTTAAGTACTGCCTTTTTATTTATTATTATTGTTTCTATTCTCTTGGGTTCCGAGTGGAAAATAGAGCTTCAACAATACATCTCCACTTTCTCCTATTTTCTGCCGTACTCTTCATCTGGGTCCACGACTGACTATAGTCTGTCAACTCTTCCAACTCGCACGATCTCCTCTATGTCACTCTCGCACCTACGGCCCACTCGTCGTATAGTAGGATAAGCAATACTGAGATTAGGCGTCGAGTGCTACGTAAGGAGGGGAAATCAATCGACGAGGCAGTGAAGGTACATTGACTGAAATGGTTAGGACATGTGTTACGTATGCCTAGTCATCACCTTCCTTGACGGGCGATGTCAGCTGATATAGGGTCAGGCTGGAAAAGAGCTAGTGGCGGTCAAACGAGAACATGGCTTCATCAGTCAATGAAATCTACAACAGTTAGATTAAGCCACGTAGGCAGGTGTATACTTCCTGGTTGGGGTCCTCGGGACGGTAAAAAGCAATGGCTGGAGACAATTGGTGATGTGGCTCAAAATCGTTCTCAATGGCTGGTTCAGATGCATTCACTCCGTGTGACTCTTAATTTCCAATGAAACTATGATGTTCTTCGATACTACTATTACTTTTGTCTCATATTCCTGTCTACTGTCTATATTATGCATTTCTTCTACTTTCTTCTATTGCTTTTTGTGCTACATGGAGGGAATGTGGCGACTTGAACTGCTGCACATCGGTGCAAAGTTCTATATTGAAAACAGATAGATAGACAGACCCACTTGTCGCTTCCCATTGAGATTCAACTTGACGGCCTGACACACGATGTCATTTGACGGTTTCCTTAATGTATGCCCGATCTATCTCCACTTTCTTCTAAATATTTGTTGAGCAATCGGTTCTTGGTCGGTTTGTTGCCAGCCGGAGTTTCTTGTTGCTAATTCTTCTTGGCCAGCTGGCTAGCAAGCCATTTAGATCTTCAGTATAGAGCCAGCTAGCGAAAGTGGCAGGTGTCCATAAAAGTGTGTACCTTGTTGGAAATGCTTTTCGTGACACGCTGGCCAAGTTTCTGACCCGTATAGAAGCAGTGACTGACTCCACATTTGTGTTGAAAATATATATATATAGCACATTTCTCAGCTAACGATAAATAATCATAGTAACATATGACTTAATTCTACATTCGTTGTTTATGAAATGAGTGTGTAAACCACCTGAGCAGTGACACGAAAACATAATCAAACTAATAAAACACATGGATACATCAATTCATTAATTGTGTTTGTTATAAACAAAAAGTGTAGGTAAACGGTCAAGGACGTGTGTGTGTGCGTGTATGTTATTACGGTGCAAAGTCATTTGACATTGCAAACAGTAAAAACTTAATTGTTTGTTTTTTATATGGTTTAGAGTAGTAGTCAAAACTATTTCAAAACATATTTAACGTCACTATCCAAATAGTCACTCTTACCATGTGATACATTTATCAATATTAATCTATTCTAAGTATATTAATTATGATTACTCGAGTGAACTGTATGCCGATCGTCCAGTTCTCTGAAATCCACATGTTACAATTTCCTTTCTAGTAGTTACTTTCGTATCATTAGATATTTTTGTAAAGTATAATGTTTCCGCAGTAAATAATGAATGATAAATGCACAACTACTCATTTAGGCAGTTACATATATATATTTACTGCAACATAGAGC